GGTATTCTGTAGCAGCATGGACATGGTACAAAATTTCGCTAAAATTTTCAACTCTAAACTTCTTTGCCAAATTTGACACTTCAAATTTTCTAGCTATACAGTATAAGCAAAGCATTATGATATATCCCTTTGCATGCTCTTACTATCCCTGCTCCACGGTTGATCAGGGCCATGACATCATCAGTGGCATTACGGCCAGGTCTGTAATGAAATCGGTAAAACGTATTCCCTACAGCAAGCATCACCTCTCCCCTTTCCTCTCCTTCTCCTCCTCCTCCAGTATTTATAGTATCTGTTGCAGGACTATGGCTTCAAGCTCCAACTATAACAAGGCGGGAAATTATCACGTGACTTTCTTTGAATAATTCTTACCCGGACTATGCCCAACTCCTTTTGGAGCGACTCTATCATGAGATCACACTCTAAACTACTCGTCATACTATCCCCTCCCGGGGACACTGGCCTCTCATCGTAAGGACATCTCTGTTCACTGGCGGATCCAGAAAAATTAAAAGGGGAGTTCCATTTCACTTAAGTGGTGTGGCTCATTAATTTTAATTAAAATTTGGGTGTGGCTCATCAATTTTAATTAATAAAATGGAAGAAAAGTGCTGCAAACTGACTGCAAAGAATCCAAAGATCATAGGCGTATTTGGACCCGGGCAAGCACGGGCTTTGCCCGGGTAGAAATTTGCAGCCATAATTATATTCATTGGTTATTGTATTATACACAGTATTTTAACAGTGGGAGGACTGTTAACCACAATAGTTAGCACTGTTAACCACAATAATTTAGCACACACCTACATGTTCCAGTATTTATTTAAGCACCAGGGCAGTTATAGGTCTTAAATTTTAAATGCATTTGCCCAAATTGCCCACAATCAATAGTTAAAGGTATAAATAATTAATTAAGTATATGAATAATTAATTAATTATATGAATAATTAATTAAGTATATGAATAATTAATTAATTATATGAATAATTAATTAAGTGCCTGGAGAACGCTTGATACGCCTATGCCAAAGATACTGCAAAAAGACAACTTCTTTTGCCAAAGGGGGGTTCCATGGAACCCATGGAACCCCCCCTAGATCCGCCACTGTCTGTTCCAAAGTCTCTCCTTGCCAGAGTTTCTCCGCCATTTTCAACCATGATTGTTGCTATAGTTCTACCTACCACGCGCACGCCACAAAGCCGCGAAAATTAAAATAATAGAACTTTAGAATTATGGTTGCCTAAAATAAAAATCACTTAAGAACTTTCTTTGTTTTGAAGATATGATTGCCAAAAATTATGTTAAAGACATAAAACAGATAGTTCATTGTTATAGTTGCTCTCTTGTTCAGCTACAAACAAATATATACTCTTCTTGTAATGCCGGGTACACTCACAGAATGATATTTCATGTTAATTTTTTGTATTTAATTAAATGAATGACAAAACAATTGAGTAGAAGATGAATACAATACAAGTAATGTCAATTGTCATGCATGATTAGTAAATTATTGATCTCTTGATTTGTACATGTTTCTCCTACACATGCTACCCATTCCTTCATGCTTCAGATTGCAATAAATTATGCTTATTTTTAAAGAATAATTTAAATAAAGTACAGTATTATCTATATTCGAAAATTGCGAACAGTATCATAAGCAGCAGATGAATTTATTTCCTCTGTTGATTGAGTAGCACTTTCTGTTTGAGCATAAGCAACATTATCTGATGTGTTTATGGTATTATCAACAGCTGTTTTACCATAGGCTACATTCTCTTTCACACTAAATGATGATATCATTGATGGATCTACTGATTCTGTGGGAGCATCAGAATTGTCAATTCCTAGGAAAAATACAAGTATGTTCAGGAGCAAATTAAAATGTGTCTTAGTCTTACCATTTCCACATTTTTTACAAATTATAATGACTGCTCCAACTATTAGTAGTACCAACAATGTTAGAAAGATTGTTCCTCCAATACCTACTGTAATCCCAATGAGGCCTGCAGTGGAGAGTCCACTTGTAGCTAATGAAAATATAATTTGAAATTATTTTAATGGACTTAGAGTTTATTTCCATGCATACTTGGTGGTACTGTAGTTACTGGTATCTCTGTTGTCCAGTTCCCTATTATAATGATAATTATTATTAGTAAGTAGGTTACTTTTTTACTACATCATCTCACATTACCATTTATTATTTGAAGTAGGAGAGAGAAAATAAAGAAGAAAGTCCAATGAAATCTAAAGTACATCACTCTTGTAAGGCTTGTTAGTTACTGAAAAAAGACTGGACTTTACATGTTTTAATAATGAGTCACTTCCTGTTGAATATAAACACAATAAGCAATTAATAATCTATATGTACTATGAATTAATTGTTATGTATCATTTAGTATTAAACTTTTTATCAACAGAGGCACTTAAATCCACCTTTCTGTCTGTTCCCCTCTCTCGTACCAATTAGTAAAGGTGTTTAACATTCAAACTGCAAGCACTACCACCAGCACCAAGAGTGTAGAGGATACAGTGTAACCTTTCAAGAAGTGGTACTCATAAATAGGCCAGATTTTTTTAAAACTAAAAAAGTTCATAAAAACTTGCTACACAACAAAAAAGCATGTGAAAAATTATATTCTCTCCTTTTCAATTTTCAAAAATTTGCTGTACAATAGATCTAGTACAATAGGACTTTAGCCCAGTTTCAGAGCAAATTAAAAAATTCATTAAAAATCTAATTTAAATTGGAATCAATTCAAACTCACTACACAACATAAGAACATGTATATGTATCAGAAAAAGTTATAAAAATAGAAAATTCTCTCCACTTTATTTTTTAGACTTTGGCCCAATTTGAGCCAGACCATTCCTAGTCTACAGTCAATGGGGTGGTTGGGGATTTATTTGGGGAATGGTCAGGATTGTGAGACTAGGAGCATGCATGTACTAGATAGTACAGATTAGATCTAGCACAGGGCATCAGGATCAGCTCAAACATACTACACTACATATTACATACCGTATAATGCTTTAATTTGGCGGAGTTTTATTTTGGCGATTTGCAAACAGGATCGCCAATATTAAAACCGCCAATCATTAATGCGCATGCTCAGTAATGCATGTGTACACAAAAATTGCCAAATTAAAAACTGCCAATTACAATTTTACAGCAAAATCGCCAAAATAAAGCGCTGCCAAAATAAAGCGTTATACGGTATAAAGCATAAAAAACAGTGTTTTTCATAAGTATCATCACAGGCCTCTAGCCAGGGGGGTGATTGAAGTGACATGTCACCCCCCTTTTGAGTTAGTACTTTTTTGTTTGCTTAAATCAAACATGTATTTTTGGTATTTCATGTGCATTCAGTCCTACTTGTCACACCCTGCTGACCCCCCATTTTATGTCACTCATACTTTATCACCCCCTTTTGTAACCCTGGCTATGGGCCTCCATTAATGTAATTTTCTACCTATAGATCTAGCTGGTGTCTGACAGGACTAACTTCTTCTCTTCGTTATCATGTAGACCTATAAGTCTAACCTAGATCTACAATTAAAGTAAATGTGTGTTTGATTATTTCAAAACTACATGGAGGTACAACTATAAATCTTGTATTTGATAAAGTTGAAATAAAATTCACTTTAATGTGCATGTAATTGTACAATGTAGATTATACTGTTAATTTCACAAGCAGCCCATTTCTTGATTAATGACTGCTGCCTTCAATTTTTCCATAAGCTGGATTTGTGATTAATTCTCCTTTGCTACCTTCTATTTCTCCATAAACTGGATTACTGACTAATTCTCCTTTGCTACCTTCTATTTCTCCATAAACTGGATTACTGATTAATTCTCCTTTGCTACCTTTTACTTCTCCATAAACTGGA